ATATTTATAGTTACTTCAGAGATGTATGGTGTCAAATTCTAACCCTAACCTGCGAAATTGTGTAAACCCAAACCATTGTGAAACTAGTCATAGGTACAAACATCTGTCTTAGCTAAGTAAAAATAACAAACAAACAAAACAGAGGAATTATAAAATCCATAACTATTCCCTTGACTGTCAAAAAAGGGCCTTACCGAGTTAAAATGCCTGTGGGTGTATATATATATATGTCCGCAGACTACATACTAGCGAGACACAAATTAGTAGCGGACGGATAGTCAGACACACCAATCATTTCAACTTGATTGGATGAAAATGATATTCCCCTGGCTGTAAAGGAAAAGGTCTTCTCGAGTTAAAATGCATGCATGTTTGCACACAAATTATTGTCGGACAGACTGACACATAACTTACTCGTGAACAGACAGACACATTTATCTGCATCCACTTTTCTTTACGCGCGCACCTAATTTCTTTTTATTTGGATTTTTAATGATTTATTTTTAAATTATTGAATTATTTAATAACATCAACACCAGCTTAAGGTGTTCCAAAGAAAAAGATCATACCATCAGATCTTGGGACATCTACAAACGCTTTTCTGATCCCGATCCGCTTCAGATCTCTGCAGAATCTATGACATCTGAAGCGGATCAGGATCAGAAAAGCGTTTGCAGATACACCGAGATCTGGTCGCAGATCTAATGCAGAATCTTTGCAGACTTCGAAGAAAAATCTGCAGTTTAGTATGGCGTGGCGCTGTAGCTTGGGTTATGTGACAGTATACATGTAATTATGTGTTGCATACGCCGGAAAACTCATACCTAATCGATGTCTTGCTGTGTAGTAGACTTCTAGCTTATTACGCTTGGGCAGGACTTGGTTTATTTGAGCAAGAAATGTTTCTAAAAGGAAAACTACACAGCTTATCGAAAATCAGATCAGGGGTGTAACCGGTTTCAAAAATGCGATACCGGTACCGGTCACCGGTATACAAACTTCGTACCGATAACGGACCGACATCGGCCGACTGATTACATTTCATACTAATGCCGGTATACCGATCGACATTATAATTCGTACTGGTATACCGATACCGGTTGCACCTCTAAATCAGATAGTTCAGCATTATGACTACAGCCACTAGGAAATGTCTATGTACAGTAGAAGAACAGCGGCAGTTGCTGTGCTCTTTCTCTGACTTGATCTTAATGTTGACTTTTTCTTTTCAGATAGAAATTATAGCATGACAGATGCATCGTCTGGTGGACGAAGACATTAAAAATCGATTCCATGAATCATTTGTATTGAAGAATATTTATTAAGATAACGAAACATTGAGTGACGATGAAAAACAAAATTAAATACTTAATGAAATACGTCAATCATTTCGTGATTATAATACTGATATTGAACAAAGAAATGACGGAGATAAATTTATATATTATCCATGGGCGGGCCGAGAAGGAGAGCAATAAATATTTTATAGTAGTGCATACACAAACGTGCTTTCCTTCATAATTTTTATACGTGCTAACACATTTTTCCTTCATTTAAAGTTTTCATCAAATTTTTTGATCAAGAATTGCTCTTGCTTTATTTTGAACTTGGATAGATACTCTGCTGCGAAATATAATTCATCCCAGGGCAATAACTGTTTATTGCATATATTTTTTTCCAGGAGGGACAATTGTCCCCAATCGCTCTGCTGGCGGCCCGTCAGTGATATTATCGTGGCTTAGAAAATAAAATGTGTAACAGCAATAACTTTTGACAGGAATATCTTAGCCTACTAAATCTAGTAGTAAGTAAAATTTTCTGACTAATTTTTTCGGTTTTTTAAAAATGTTATCATAAAAATCAGAAATGTTTACAATGCAAGATTATGAGCAATACCCCGAAGAAAATCGATAGTTGATCTATTATTCCGATCAGCAATAACATTTTAAATTCTGTATTCTGTGTCTTCGTTTTCTTTGCGCTTCTTTGGGACTGGTTCTCCGCGCATTGCTTTTTCAATTTCCATTTCAACTTCATTCTGTTCTTTTTGAATTTGTTTAATCATAGTGAAAATGCCAACATGAGCTCGAACAATTAATGTTTCCCAGCATCTATGCCAGGCTTCGATTTTGTTTTGAGTTCTCGTAAATGCAAATTCCATGTTATGAAAGGCAGACCACATTTCTGGTGGATATAATGGGTTGTTTCTCTGAACTGTGTCGCTTCTCAATGTTCTTTTTACTCTTCCGTGTACATAGTTATTTTCAAAATCATTGAATTTGTTTTGAATATAGATTGTGTTATGTATGTATATCTGTACTAGTCCTACGACATAATCAAATATTACACACACACACACACAATTTTTTGGACTTCAAATTTTTTTCGGCAAAATGAGTTGGCGGCAAAGTGTACGTGTCGGGAAAAAGTACCTGTTGGCAAGGTGTACATGTCGGCCATGTGAACGCGATCCAAACTTATTTTAGTTTTAAAGGAAAACAAGAGTACTGTTTTAGTATTTATATGCAAGTTGGTCAATACGTGATGAAAATGGCGGTCTTCGCTTGCTTTTTGTTTATTTTAAGAACTTTGAATGAACATAACAGCTATAGAGATGGCAAGAACGTTCACATACACACACATTGTGCATAGTTTTCATTATTATTACACATTGAACATAATGAATTTTGTTATTATATTCACAATTCATCATTTTTTACTGCTTGTTCACCGATCAAAGACTTAATCAGTCATTTTACAACTAAAGGAAATCGCTAAGCCAATGCTAAACAGAATACCAATGATGCTAATGCTCAATAACATAGTTGACTCCAAAATCAATAATAATTGAAAATCAAATGAGTATTTCTGAACATAGAAGAGAGAAATGAGAAACATTACGTCATAATAGAAAACTTTGCGAATAAATAGTGAATAGAACGATAACTGTTGGCAGTACGTCTGATTAAAAGGCTGACATGATCGAGTCAATCCGTGAAGACAACATTAAAACGTGCTTTATTTAGCAAAGCCCGACGAACTCAATAGAGTAATAAAAAAAGCTGGAGCTTTCGAATTCCTTTTTAAAAAAGGAACATCAGTTTTTTAATGGATTTAGCTTCAATGTTTCAACAAACACCTAGATTATGCAATTTAGCTACCATAGGACTCTAGCACTAAAAATTAACTTTTTTCAGAAAACCTAGGATCTACGTTTCAAAGCAAATATCATTATTTCCAGCAATTGCAAGGAGATATCGTCGCGAAACGTCTCGAAGAAATATATAGGTTTGCTTGTGATAGTGAAAATCTTGACTGTTTCTATCTAGAGAATAACTGAACGCTTAGTCTAAAAGGTTATAGAATTTTTTCTATGTTTCCAAAAGAATTCCTGAAAGAAACAACACGCAGCTATATACTACGAAAAATTTTGCGCCTATAGACTTTTTGCAAAGTGGCGTCATTTTCTCTGCCCAACCCGTTAGATGACGCTCTTAAAGAATTAAGGATCGATTCTTGTATAGATAGTAGTGTCTTTTCTAACTGTTACGGCTAGATACCATCCAACATTAATATGCATTTCTTTCCATTAAACCCACGATTGTTGCAAAAACCAAGATGAACTTAGAAATATAACCTGAAAAACTACATTTACTTTTTTAGAGTTGGAAAACACTTCTAAAACAGACAAACTGAGTTTTTGCGGCACATGTAGAAGCAAATGCATTTTAAAGAAATACAAGTGACGAAACTAAAGAACAAGAAATGATCTACGTAGAAAAGACAAACGAAGATCAAGATATTCAGACGAAAGAGATCATGTTTAGTGATAAATTTTGCCATCGACCAGACCGACTGTAATTGTATTCTTTTGCACAATACTCATAGTTATTTTTGGAACTGTTTCTACTCACAGATTAAACGAACCATTATATTAGAATGCTCTGCTATTCTCATTGTAATACTAAATTCAGGAAATCTGAACGCACCATTTATTTGGCACCTGAAGGAAAGAACTTTCCACTGCTGGATGATGAATAATATGTTTTGTTCACATAGGTAGTAAGATACATTCAATAAGGGATCAAAACGGTAAAAGAGGCAAAAATCTCCTGAAAATATAGTCAAACAGCCGGGAATAAACATTATTTGTCCTGTGCTGTATACACGGCAAACAAGAAGCTATAGAATTGATTATAAGTGTATTTTTAAGATACAACATTTTTTTTGGTGGGTACCGCAGGAAGCAAGTTTTCTGCTCCTTTATCGTTTCTAATCATTCATTATAAGAGAACGAGCACTTTTCTGCTTTACTAACTTCAAGAATAGAAAACTTTTCGATACTCTTGAAAGATATCCTAACTAGCCATTTTTGATCTAGAGACATTTAGAAAACTACGTATGTTTGAATAAGTTCATAAGTTCTTCTTCATTAATTTATTCATGAACAAAATACAAGCAGTTGTCTCAAAATACATTACATAATTGTAAATATTATCACGATATAGAATATGAAGGAGAGTAGTGTTTATCAAATTAGTGTTGTCTAATACATAACACTAATTTAATAGACAATATCTAAGCACTACATGTACAATCTTCTATTAGTAACCTGTTAAACGTTTCAATATTTCTAAACGAAAGATCAACAAACGGTGGAAAATCAATTATCAAACAAATATGTAAATATTTTGAGAAAGTAACAAGTTATGTCAAAAAGAACTTCCTTTCTTTTTTTTCCTCTGTTCATTATGTATTGAAAATGCTTGTAATGTACACTTTGGTACGCGCTGGTGTTTTATTTTCCTTAAGTAAATAAAGTTTAAACCAAAGAACAAAAAATTCAATTAAATCTTTATTTTGACCTTACGACTAATCTTTTATTACTATTTGATATTACTACTGTTACTATTTACTAATATTTTAAAATTATTTATAAATGGGTATGGACTATATTTTCTTTTTCTTCTTCTTTTAGTGAGGAATAAATTAGTCCAAATATGAACAAAAATACATTATTATTACTTTTATCCTTAATTGCTATTGTTTTGATTTCCACGGCTGTTATTGGTTGGACATACCATTTATGGATGCCAAAAATAAGAACTTCATTAGTATATAGTGATTCTATAATCGGTTCGTCCCCTGTGTTACCCAATGATGGAACATACGTTCAATGGACATTTTTACAAATGAATGATGTCTATGAAATTATGCCATTGAATGAAGGAAAAAAAGGTGGATTGGCACGAGTCGCAACTGTGCGTAAGGAATTATTGAATGAAAATCCTCACACGTATACTTTTGTAGCTGGTGACCTCTTATCACCATGTAAGTTATTCCAGTCTATTTACTTGTTTAATAATCAAAGATTATTCGTTATTTTCTCATTTTCTATTATGTCACTTGTGATCAATGGCAATAAGTTTAAATGTTTTAGCTGCTCTCAGTCAAGCAACTGTTAATGGATCATCATTGAATGGTATTCAAATGATAGACGTAATGAACTCAATACCTATCGATTACATGACATTTGGCAATCATGAATTTGATTTAAAAAAGCCTGATCTTTTGAAACGCATGGCAGAATCAAACTTTGCATGGATATCCACAAATGTAAAAAATTTATCAACAAATGATCCATTTGGAAAAGCTATACCGTACAAACTAATTACAATTTCAAATATAAATATATTGATAATTGGTTTAACAATACATGATAATGTGGGCTCACCACCATATGTAACAATTGTCAATGGATCATTATTAAAAACATTTGTGAACACATTTTTGTCAACACTAAATGTTAAATATGATGTGCTCGTAGCTATTACACACCTTGACATAGCACAAGATATAATGTTAGCCGAACAAGTGCCACTCTTTGACCTTATCATTGGTATATATGATCTCAATGATGGAAACTATGTGTTTTAGTGATAGGCACTATAGAGAATGATGGTCAATCTTCTCGGGGATTATGTTGCCCGAGAGTCTTTTTCTCGTCAACCGAGCTTTGAGAAACCGACATCTGACGCTGTTCAATACGATGTTTTTACAATGAAAAAATCCGAATCGATAGTGTGGTTCGCATCGGTGTGGGAGCCAGACTAGTGAGACTAAATAGAAGGAGAACAATTGCAAATGCTGAGAATCTATGAGATGAAGCTTAGTTCAGCAAAATGTTTTCGTCGCAAGAAAGTTTCTGCTATGAAAAGTAATTTTGAAGAACTTCAGTGATAATTGAAGCAGGCGAATCAGTATAAGGAAGCTGGATATTGCGGTTCGATGTATGTATACAGTTGTATAAGAGACTACTGAACTGCCGGCTGCTCAAACGTTAGTTAGTTACCTTTTCGGAATCTATCGCTCATCAATATAAGGTAAATGTTAGTAACTTTTAGTAAGTTTGGATGATTCTCTTATCAGACATTTTCTGAAATCGAAGTGAAAAATTGTTTTTTTTCTACCAAAATTTCTTTAATTCTTCTTGCAGGTGGACATGATCATGAAAATTATCATGAGATACGCGGTGAATATAACACACCAATATGTAAAGCTGATTCAAACGCAGTTAGTGTATTCATTCATCGATTAGCTTATAATGTAGATAAAAAGCTGCTACGTATCTACAGTACATTAATAAAAATCACTCCAGATATCCCCGATAATGAACAAACAAAAGCAGTTATTGAACATTGGTATAATATTGGTATGGATGCATTTGCAGCCGATGGCTTTCAACCAAAAGAAATTGTTGCTAATCTGCCGGATGATGTTGAATTAGATGGCTTATCATCAACGATTCGCTATGGACCTGCATTATTAACAGATTACATCTGTCAAAGCTTTTTAGATATGACAAATGCAACCGTTGGTGTATTTAATGTCGGTGCTATTCGTTTAGACGATGTTCTTAGAGGAACAATTACAGAATATGATATCTTACGTATACTACCGTATGCAAATATTGTGTGGAAATTATCCGTACCCGGTTCAATAGTAGCAGAAGTGTTAACGCACGGACGTACATTGATTGGAAATGGGATGTATTTAGCTTCATGTGGCGTACAATCAACAGATAATATAAATTGGTTTTTAACATCAGATAATAAAACAAATATTTCAAAAGAGCCAACAAATTTTACTGTAGCTACAATTGACTATGCAAAAACCGCAACCGGATTGAATGATCCATCTGTCGAGCTATTACAAACATATAAATTAGCTTCTCTTGGATTAATTCAATACTTGAAAAAGTTATATCAACGTTAATAACATATTTTATCCAAATTCCTTATTCATAATCACGCTGTACTTTCCGCCAATAAGAGCTATTATCATACTGTTCGTCCTGAAGGTACGAATAAGAAGGCGGATTGTAAATGATCGAGTTATACTCGCCACATGATTCTTTTAAAAAGTTAAAAACTTTAAGTAAATCAACATTTTGTATTTGATATAGTAGAAATTGACATTTCAATCTCAAGTAGTGCGGATTAAACTGCCGATGTCTGCATATATGACGAAACACAGATTTTTATTAATCTAACAAGTCTTTTTGATGAATCTTTCTCTTCTAAGTATTAATTAATAAAAATCTATGTTTCATCACATAAGCAGACATCGGCAGTTTAATCCGCACTACTTGAGATTGAAATGTCAATTTTCGCTGTAATATATCCATAAATTTAATTGACTATGTATAGCTTAAGTTTGACTTAAATCTACCTCAACAAGGAGATATATCGACCGAAATTTTTCTTCGTGATTTTAGATACGGACTGCTGTAGGACAAATTCTCTAACCGTCGATACAATCGAACTGCTGATACTAACTGAAATAAAGAAAAAACTGACTAGCAAAGGTAAGGGTATGACTATATATATATATATATATGAGTGATTCTGATAAAAATAGTACCGTTCGAATGATGTAAATGGTCCCAAGCGTTTCTTTTCTTCATCTTGATGAATCACTTTCGGATTTCTCGCATGTATTCATCAACGTTAGGCGCATAATCGCTGCAAGTACGACTTTTTTATGTTTGACCGTGAACGAGTTATAAGAAAAACGTCCATATTTGACCGTTATCTCGATGTTGTGTTTCTGGTGATCCAAATATGTTTGGTTTTGTAAATGTTATTTTCTCTGTTATTTTATCTAGAGAAATATATTTTTTTTCTTTCTTTCTTATAGAAGTTTCTTCGCTATACTCAGTTACATCATCACCTTTGGTACCGATTGTTCTGTTTATCCATAAATTTATGGTCCCGAAAAAATCTTTTTTTCTGCCCCGTAAGCACATGGTCTTGGATAGCTCTGATAAGTTGTTCAGTTTGCATTCTTTGTATGCCAAAAGTTGACTAAATATATAGAATAGATAACAGCGAAAATCCGATGTTTCTATCACTTTTCACTGCCAAGTAATTCCCACTCTACTGAAGCTATGTGAGGTTTGACCGACGATTTGTCCCGTAACCACCTACTATACCACACCTCAATCAGGTCTAATAGAAAGTTTCTTTTTTTACCAGAAATGTTGTCTACGCACACGATGATCCTGTATAAATCGCAAAGACTACGACCGCTTTATAAGGGAGAAAACTAGAAAGTACGAAGAAATGTCCTGTAACCGTTTTTTTTCTGTTTCTTCTGTAACTTTAACATAACACGCGCAAATAAAGCCAAATATCTATTGCAGAGGTTTCGAAACATGTTGAATTTAATGAAGTGCATAAATAGCGTTTAGACCGACCAAAAAACCATTTCCTAGAGAACGGAATTTTCTACCAAACCTGTTTCTTCTCTTTCACTATTATCGAAAAAACCCAGTGCGCTCGATTGTGTTTTGAATAAGTCGAGAACAAAAAGAGCTAGAGAGTTCGAATCTTCAACATTGGAAAGAAAGACAAGACCTGAGTGCATCTTTTCCGAACAGAAAAAATTTCAAAAATCTTTTTCGAAAGTAGGCTTAGGAGATTTTTGGAAAATTGAGTCATAGCTCAAGAACTTCAAGTACTCCTATCCATTTCAAAATATAGTATGGGTGATTGGAACATGGATAACTGGAGAATCGAATGAGCTATCGAGATCGGGTTTTCACCATCGTGCTGCAAAGGCCGGAGCACAATAAGAGTAGAAACCAAAGTTTTTTGCGTGGATCTCTGGAAAACCACTTTATAGCGCCAAAGTTTTACATAGAAATCTATCAGTTTTTTTCATATATGGATAGTCCAAGGTGTCCTCCTCAAAATGAGAGTTAATTGAGACCTTGCTTTCCCGCGGTACACGCGTTGTATTGGATTTCCTACGAGTCCCATGAATTGGTAGGTGTCAACACTTTTCAGCTTTCTCTGCCTCTATCAATAAGCATTTGTCGCTCTTTTTGCAACACTATAAGTACTGAGTCCCGAAAACCAGAAACTTCAGTGCTTACGCACGAAAAAAAGACGTATAATCACTACGTCTGACCGAATAAGGTATAAAAGGAGCAAAACAAATGATATCACTATTGACTAAGAAAACAACAGTATCTGTGAGCAAAACAAAATGTGCAAATCAAAGTAGCCTGACATAGATGCAAAAGGAAAAAACATCATTTGTGAATGATTCCAGTACCAGAGCTGGGCAAGTCACGGGTTTTCCAAGTCTCAAGTCAAGACAAGTCACGGGTTTTCCAAGTCTCAAGTCAAGACAAGTCACAAGTCATGACTTGGAATTTTTATTTTCCGTAGAAAATAGCCCACAACGGAGCTGGGCAGGTTACAAGTTTTCTACGAGCTTCGGCTTTTTGTTTAGATACAATGTTTGTTTTTCGTATTTCACAAAAATATGTATTTCAAAAGATAATCATAAAAAAAGACAATGCTCTAATGAGCCTGACATAGTTCAAAAACAAATCACACGTGAATAATACACATGTAGCACGAGCACTTAGCTAAGAAAGAATAAAATAAGCTATTCTCGAAACGACATAACGATTCTTTAGTTTGCTCATACATTTTTAAATTAGAAAATTAGAAGTGGAACTGCGATCAGTGTGGTCTAAGATGATGCAACAACTATGAATCATTAGTGCACGTGCCACGTAGTGATACTGAGGATGTAACTGCCAATGAAAACGACATAAAAGAGTCTTCATTCATTCATATTAGAACACAGGCTTGCTATGCTATTGCAAAATGCACGTCTTGTTACTGTGCGTAAATTCTTACACATTATAAGATCAACATTCCCAAATCATTATGAATTATTATTTAAAATTAGATTGCATAAGCGGTTTAAAAATACGCATGAGTTGACTTGATTTTTCATGCCAAGTCACAAGTCAAGTCAAGTCTTTTAAAAAACTTTTCAAGTCACGACACGTCAAGTCAATCATGAGCCATCAAAAACTTCCGAGGTCAAGTCAAGTCAAGTCATTTTTAACTTGACTTGCCCATCTCTGTCCAGTACTAACGTGATATTCCGAATGACTGTTCTAAACAGCCATGAACCATGATTGAGGTATTTCACCAGTTTTTGTGCTCTCTAAAAAGATATGTAGCTTCCAAAATCCGAACGGTTTTTTATTCTTGCTTCTAAACCCAAAAGGATATAGTATCGTTATTGAACCGTTTTGATTTTTAAAATCAAAAAAGCATCTTTAAGATATCAGCCAAAATCCGGTTGAAATACCATACCTACAATGTGATGAAACGATATTTTTATTATTCATCACGTAGTGGATGAGGGATGGAGTGACTCCATTGGAGTCACGAAGATTAGGTCAGAATCAGTGAGAGAAAAAAGCAGGAGTGAGGTAAATTTTTAGGAAAAAGCTTATAAAACTTTTGGAAGAAGTAAAGGATCCGAAAAGCAGAAGAGTGTACATCCTCTCTATCATCACGGTCCTAGTTAGGAAACACCTTACGAAAGTTTCCAAGGGAATTTTACATAGAATTGAATGCTGTTCCTCAAATCTCGGTTAATCATTAACACTTCGCCCTAAACATCCCATATTTTCGTTGCGTTTAACGCAACGAAACAGGTATATTGAATAATACTGTTCTCAATTTTGTTTCCAATCAAATTCACCGATGCAACTTTTGACGGCTTTCCTTAATAACGCGTTAGAGTTCGTTTTTTTAGTGCATGATAAAGTACGTTATCAGTATACTTTTCTTGTTATCAAAGATTTAAGGCGACATAACGAATCAAATAATGTATCGCGTTGTCATGTTTTGAAAAAAAATTGTGTTGTCGCGAGATAAAGATACGTGTACACCAGCCCACTAACAGGGCAAATCCCTTCAACTTTGGAGAGTAGAAGTTCGCCTGAGTAAATAGATCCCAACTTTGTCTAGGAAAATTCCGCATTAGAGTAGATCAATCCATGATTGGCCTGAAGAAAAATCATGCAGCTGTGGTCTAGACCAATCTTAGCTTGACCTAACCAAATTAGGCCAATCTAGGATTGGTCTGACGATAGAACGAGTGATGCGAGACTGGACTAGGCACAACTCGGATCCTAGAATGGCCTAGACCATTGGGCTGCGACATATACAAGGAGAAGACGCACTCTTCGTCTAGTGCCGATGGATTCTTCGAAGATGTTGTGCAAAGTGCAAGTATCCTAGTACTCTGAATTACCCATGCCTGTGGGTATTCATGGGTAATGAGCATTAATTGGGCAGATGTTTACTCAGAAGTCTGAAATCTGCTTTAATTCCGAATCGGATTGATATCATATTACTTGTCTTATTTTTGCTTCCTGTGTATAACACATGTATAACACGTCTATTGTACTTCAAGTTAACTTGACAACATTTGTTCAGTTAATTTGGGTTAATATTGACTCTATTACATTTGCAACATCACATTCACAATTTGCAATGGATAATTTATGACCCAGTAGTGGCTTGAAGTAAGTTATGTATCGAATTTTTGTTTATAACAACGGTATAAATATGTTGGTCTCTCGTTTTTTCAGTATTACGAATTCACTTGTACCTTATTCATCCATATCATCGACGCAATCTCGAACAAGTACGAATATTTATAGCACTAGAAGTCGCGAGACTGTTGAATATTACTGTCACGGCTTGAGATTTCTCCAGGTCCGTTTTGAATAAAAATGAATTTGTCTCTGCGACGAATTTCGCTGTTTTCAACTTAAAATTTTCATGCAAGAATTTTAACTAATTTTGTAACAAAAGGGAGCAAAATCCCGAATTATCGGTGGACCAGTGTGACCGCATTTCGAAAAAATCTGGTGGAAGATGTTGTTGCTTCGGGATGCTTGTATTGTCAGTTGGTAGCGTTAACAAATTTCCCTCTTTCTCTACAGACTCTAACATCTACAACGCCCACTACAACTACTTAGTCCAATCCAAAAGTAGTGGTGGAGGTACTTTATTTCTGTGTAGAAAGCCTGAGAAAACTTCAGTCTGTTTTTAAAAGATGCACAATTTAATTCTCTACAAAATGGATGTTGACTATATTTTGCAGTAATGAAATTCTAAATTACTAGAGATCAAACACTTCGCTGGAAATTTGGTTATAACTATTGAAAAAATTACTATAGTAGAAAACTGATCATATACTTTGATATAAGTGTCAAGCTGGTTATGACAAGCACACTCTTAGCTACAAAATGAGACATCTCTCAACTATTCACGGTCTCTCATTCAAGTATATAAGATCAACAAAAAGAGCAAAAAGTAACGCGCAGACATGTTACGCGGAATGGCTATGCACACAAACATTTTCTCTACAAAACTCCGATTGAAAGAGTCCGATTGGCAAAGAGTTAGATGAAAATGGAAATATTGTTGATCCAACTAAAGTCGAATGGAAATCGGGTGAAGCATTCTCAACTCCATTGGGACTCTGGCATTCTCATCATAATGAATCAGATCAGGAAGATGCTTGGATATTTCCTGTACAAGATGCGTCTCAATCATACGTCTCGAGTTCTAGGATTGGAAGAAATATTTTGGAATTAGTTATTACATGATTCAATTTTCACATCTTACATGTCGACAAATGTCAACAAAAATCTTATTGGAAAAAACGTCCAATGACGAATCTTTATGGTTACTTGCGACATCACACACGTCACAACTTACGAAATTACTTCATATAAAAAGTGCTGTCATTCTATGAAATCTCATATGATCAACATGCCGTGGAAAAAACAGAAAAAGCGTTCTGGGAGTAGTAAAGAACATTGTGTTGTTCTACTTCTCGGTGGTTCGATCTACGATGAAAGCGCTGGTGGCGTTCGTATTGTTCAACATGGTCGCCGTCGCGATGATGAAACACGCCGCACAAAGAAAGATGTGGAAAAAGATAGTTTCTTGTGGAAACGAGATTTTCATGCGCTGACTACATTATTTGAAAGAAACGGTGCTACAGTTTGGCGAAGTATACCCACCGCGATGCACTGTTCGAAGTTGGATACTATTGAACACCTCTTATCCTTTTTTACTTTTGACGATATTGAACGACAACGAAGAGGTATGGCGTATAGACAAGCAACGACGTTTATTATTTACTGGTGTGGTCATGGAGTACCGTATACCGGCAATTGGGGCTTTTCAGAAGGTGAGACAATAACCTGCGATGAACTGATTAACCTTTGGACATCAGCGAATCGAGAAGATCGGGATGCATTAACCATTATCGCTGATACATGCTTCTCAGGCGCCTGGATTGATGAACTCCGAACAAAACAGATTCCTAATCTTGCTTACCAAGCCGCTTGTCGATCGGATGAAACAGCGTGGATATTCGACGATCGAGAGGTCCCACGGAGTTTGCTTATGCGAAGATTCTTTCTCGAAATTATGGAAGAAACAGAATCTACGGATGATCGCGTTTACATATGGACGTGTCCCACTCAACGTCCGATTTTCTTCTGTGATTATGTTCCTGAACAAGAAACAGAGAGACGGGCGCTTGTCAGAGGTGCATTTTTCTTCTTTTCGATCGACGAACATGCAGAGACAGACAAGAATCATTATTATGCTGAACCTAACGGTGGTGTACGGCATGGCAAGTTTTTGAAAGCAACGACGTAATCTAGGATATATATTTTAAAATAAATTCCCTTAATGGAAATGTCAAAAAATCTGACCAGAGCGAAAGAATAAATAAGCATAGCCGAGCATACCCTGCTTAAAATTCTAAGAGTCCAGCATACGAGACAATCTACGTAGTACTCTACGCTTTCTCAGTTATCCTCTTGTCATCTTGAGCATGTACTTTCTATGGAGATAATGTCACTTTTTTGATAAGTCGATAGACTTTAAACATGTTATAACGTCTTTTTACTACCTATTATTAATTTTTATTCTATCATCTTGTTTCTATTGCTCAGTTTTTAAACGTTATTTTAATTTCATCTCACTCGCAGCTTCCATGTGTGATTCTATACATTAATTCGATCTCTCTTGAAATCTTAAAAGTTCTTCTTTTTAATTAAATGAGTGAGTAGTACTTAAAATTATTCTTTCATTATCGATAACGTGTCGGCTCGGTGATAGTGCTCGGTTTGAAGTGAAAATAGTCATTTTATTCACAGATGACCTTCCCCCTTATCGTATTATAACAGTAAAAGTGATTTTTCTCAACACAGAAAAGAAAAAAGAAGGATACGTTACTTTGTAACTGGTTGTATGATGAGTCGAGTGAGATAAAACATTTGCCTTTATCACTTACGTAGAAAAACTAGATAGGTTTACAAAATCGACCAATATGTGGTGCACTCGACGCGATTCGAAACGCCACCATCAGTGGGGTTTGGGATCCAGAGTCGATTTAAGAACTTTCTTATATTCAGCTTTTTATAGCGTATACAACTTTGGTCGATACTGTTTTAAAGAACTTGACATTCACTTCTGTTTTTAAAAACGACAACAGCAGTAGCAATGACATCAGCACAAAACGAGGAAACACAGGGAACTTTCAATCATGAAGACTGGACTTTTTACGAAAGATACAAAGATCATTCAAAGAGAACAAGGGTAAGCAAGAAATTATTTAAACGGTTATCAATTTCAAAGAAAAGATGACCTCAGGTATTTTTATACCAGTCGAGAGGGCAACGGCAATGCAGATATGTTTCTCCCATTCGCTGGGCGACATTTGAATACATCTTTCCATAATGAAACCCGATTTGAAAATCCTCCTGATAAGATTCTTAGTGCAAAGTTATGTAAGATTTTAAGTCAAGGGGAAATATGACATCAGTGCTGAGATAAAGGCTGAAAAAAGTGCTTTAACTGCTGTGAAGCTCTGGACTTCTAATCAAGTTTTGTGCTTGTTTTAGAGAATCGTTTTAAGCAAAATACCAGGCCAGCGTACATTGTAAAACAGTTTTATTGTTGCTGACCTTGCATGGCTTCCATTGTAAAATAACCAATTTTTTCCTACAAGTTATGTTAGGGACTTGGGTGAAATTTTAATTTAGAGAGGAAGTCTGTTAAAAATTGACAAAAATGCTATGTGAACCAATGCGTATCGTTCTCCTGGCTTGGCTAGCTAACTCTGTTACCAGAGTGAAATTTCGTCACGTTTTTTGACATTTTGTTTCTTATAGTTTTCGAATAGCGAGACGCCCAGAGTACCAGGACGTCTTATCCGAAACAATAGATTTTTGTATTTTCATCATAATTTTTGAGTGAAAGATTATGTAGAGTGCGAGAACACTTCAAAATCTTTAGTACGCTTTTCTCTTTAATTTGAGATGTCCCAGAGCTCGGGGAGTCTCGCCATTCGAAAACTATAAGAAACAAAATGCCAAAAAAACGTGACGGAATTTCACCCTGGTAGCAGAGTTAGCTGGCCGAGCCGTCAGGGGAATTTAAAAAAACTAAAAGCGGCAGATGAGTTCATATAACTGCGTAAAGTCCAAATGAAGTTGACATGCAACAGAGACCGAAACGGGTCGGGTCGGATCCGATTGTCTCGGGTCGGGTTCGGGTCAATGTAAAAAATATTGGTTCGGGTCGGGTCGGGTTCGGGTT